AATATTCTTCTTGGATGAAAAAAAAAAATCTCCAGATTATATTTTAAAAAATAAATTACATAGATAATTATTTAAAAAATAGCTTTAGACTATAAATTCAACCTTCCTTTCTAATTCGCTTCTCTTTGACAAAAATAATAGATTTATTACTTAAGATTGCTAATAAATTTTTATTTCGCGATCATTTTATCAAAAGCTTAAACGGCATGGCAACGAAAAATATTAAATATTAATTAAATTAAAAATACAGTAAATAAAATTATTTTAATTATTAATTAAATAAATAACACATATCACCGTATTAGCGACGGGATTAATGATATACGAAAATAAAATAATAAGAAAATAAAACCGTGTGAAGCATCCCATTAAAGGCCATTTAATAATTATATAATTAAGAACTTTGAAATTAAAAGGTTAAATTAATAAGATGGATTAGTGATATGTTTTTATTTACCTAATACAAATGATTAGTGACTAATTCATGCTTAGGCCACACTTAATGAAAAAAATATAGATTAATGAAATCTTTTTGTTAATTAATCGAATTAATTAGATATTTACTGATGTTGCCATGAAATCATACGCGTAGGAAGATGTAGACTGGAATGAACAAGTGAAGAAATATATTATATTATTGTTAGCTTGAGACAAATGCTTGAAACCATAAGCTAAAGACATTGGAAAAATATTGAATTGGATATGAAAGATATTTTTATTTTTATTTTTTGAAAAAAAATCTCTGATTTTGTTTTATATTTCTATTAAATTGGTTCTAAAGCTTTTTTTTTTAATATTGAATAGGTCAATATTATATATATTAAGAAGATAAAGATTAAAATAGTCCCCTGACTACAGTCTTTGACGTAAAACCTACGACCCAATAATTTTACTTATTACAAGGAGAAGGAACAAAAAATAAAGCAAGAATTTCTTTGTGAATGCCCTAAATCAGATTAATTATTCTGTGAGGACGTCGGACGTAGTCCGAAGACCAGCCAAAATGCGTCACATCACGCTTTCGCTCGGTACCATTGACGTGACACATTCTGATTGGTCTCCTGACGGCATTCTGTGTCTGACCTCCACACAGAATAATTTCTCCCTAACTCAGTCTCTCTCTCTCTCCATAAAATATGATTTCTCATTAAACAAGCAAAAGGGGTAACCTTATTAAATAAGCAAGTCTTGTCATCTTCTTCATAAAAGTAAAACATGTGCATTGAAGAAGCAATTGGCCTCTTGTTCTAAGCAGCATATGACTTGGCCTTTTCTCCCTTAGTCTTTCTTTCTTGAATCTCTTTATTTTTTCTACTAATATAAATGGCCTGAACTACACTGAACTATTTTACTTAGTCTCGTCAAATTCTTTAGGGTGGTTGGGGAAACCATGGTTAGAAAATTAACTTGTTGACTTTGTTGAATTGGTCCCATTCTTTGTAGTTTTCACCTTCAAATAAAAAAATAAAATAAATGAAGGGCTATGAACATACAATATTATTCATGATTAAGACTAGAGAAATTGTTCACGCCTATCAAGACAATGAGAGCATTCCCTTTGATTTCTTATTGAAGTTAGTATTGGAAATAAAATATATAATAATATTTTAAATTCTTAGGGGTGTAAATAAGTTGAGTTCTTGCTTAGGCTTCATTTGTGACAACTTTTTTTTTGCTTCTTAAAGCAACTTTTAGTACAAAATTTTTAATTTTTTTACTAGAAAACTGCTTTAAGAAGCAGAAAGAAAGTCGTCCAAACGAAGCCTTAATCAGCCCAAGCTTATTTAATTTATGTTGAGCTTGATCTCAAGCTCATTTGTTGAGCTTAAGCTTGTGTATAGGAGGTTCGAGCTTGACCAGAATGCTCGGGTTCGATAAGAAAGCTCGAGATTGACTCTTTTTGAAGCTCGATTTCTTATTTTGAATATAAAAAAAATCGTTAGGTTAATATAAATGCTGATGCGTTAATTATTTTTAATCGACCTAGCTGCATAAGTTGATTAGCCGAGCCTGGCTAAGCTCGAGCTCGAGCAATTATAATATATGAACTAGAATTGAAGTCGAACTCGAACTCGAACTCGTGACTTCATAAGCTCGACTCATGAGCTCATTAGCCAGCTGAGTTGGTTGGAGCTAGCTCATGAGCCGATTTGACACACTTACACATATAGTACGAAAGAAATTTTAGAGAATGAAATAAAATCAGATAATTATGATTTAATTACGTTGAAATTTCTTGCATTCAGACAAGTAGACTCAATTGTAACTTGCTCAATTTGTCCACTTGATGAATGTTTATCTTTTTGACATGAATTGACTACTGTTTATATTTATGTGTTAGTGTTACATAAATGCACAAAAAAATATTTTATTAAAAATAATATGTGATATTATTAAGCTGTACGTGCCAGCTTATATTTGAAACCATGCAAACTCATGTTATTACTGATAGAAGAAGAGCTAAGCTCTCAGGTTTAGTACTAATTATCTGTTAATTAAGCACATTTTATGCACATTAAGATACCTTTTGGACTTGTTAATTACCACATATAGACCTTGTTAGATTAAATATTTATTTAACATATATAGTGTTATTGTGACCCGAGTTGTTACGCAAGAAAATTAGTTTTATTATAATTGATTAGGTCATTAAGCAACTATAATAAGCAAAATAGTTGTTACTTAATAAGGATTTATTTTAATTTTGTTCTAGAAAATTACTTTAAGAAGCAACGAGAAAATTCGTTGTCCCAAACGAAACATAAATGATTCACTTGCTAGCAAATATCAAATAGATCCAAAAAAATTACGGTCTCGCTCGATGCCCGCTCTATCGTTTCGCCCGCTCCGCTAGGGCTTTGCCCTAGCTTTCTCTAGTGCGGTTCCTGGGCCGCTCGCCCCGGTGGCGCTAGTCATCACCGTTTTCCCAGGGAAGTTTTCTTATTTTTCTGGTTCGCTTTTGGTTTGTTGGTGTTTTGTTTCCTTTATAGTGCATGCCTGAATGGCGCTGAAGCTTTGCGACCCTGATTTTTTAAGGGGTTTGTCTTCATCGGGTTCTTTTTTGGATGTTCTTGCGGGTTCTTCTTTCCTTAATGAATTTCCAGAGCTTAGGGCATCCTCCTTTCGTGGCTTGCCTTCCCTTTGGATCTCTGATCAGGAAATTCAGGCATTCGCAATTCCTTTTCGGTTCTCGTTGGTTGATTTTTTCCTACTAAACGACCCTCTTCTGATACCATTCGTAGATTTTTTTCAACATCAAGCTAAATGGGGAGGTTTTGGTCACCTTGTTGGATCCGTTGCATGTTCTCATCAAGCTCGCTAATGGCCTTGATTACTGTCGGGTTTTCTGTCATAGATCGTATTTGGTTTATAATTGCTACATGAAGCTCACCAAGTGGTCTCCCCTTGTTGAGTCGCTGATGATCCCAATTTGGGTATCCTTTCCGCAATTGCGCCCTCACATCTTTTCCCCCCTCATTCTTCATGGTTTGGCCTCTCTCTTTGGCAAACCATTAAAAATTGATGCTGCCACTTCTATTGGATCTAGGCTGTCTTTAGCTCATGTTTTAGTAGAGCTGGATATCACTAAATCCTACCCTAAGAAGGTGTGGTTAGGCTCGGAGAAGCTCAGCTATGTCCAACAAGTGGTTATGGATGAGTTCCCACATTTTTGTGCTTTTTGTTGTAGTATCTGAAATACTGTTGGAAATTGCTATCCCCTCTTGCTGTACCGATCCATGCTGATCTGCCTCATTCTACAAAGGTTCCTAATGAGATTTCTGATAATCCTGCTTTAATTCGCTCTTCCCCCCTTCCCCTGTTGTGCCGTTGTCTGTTATGGGGGACTTTGTGAATGATGTGGTTGTTGCCCCTTTAGAAGTAGGTCCTCCTGTGCATATTGTTGAGAATGATGTGGTTTTTTAGGGTATTATTCCTTGTATTGCTAATTTGAATTTAGTCAAGCTAGACTCTGTTGTGGTTTTAGGGGGGGTGGCTCCTGCTGCCCAGGTTCCATGGTTATGTGCGAGTGAAGTTTCTATATTGAATTGTGGTTTCAATTCTAAACCTGCTTTATCTTGTGCGGATAATGTGTCTGCCCCGTGTGGTTTGGTTCTAGTCGGAAATTGATTGATCATGTGGTATCCTCTCTGATGGCTGTAGTGAGTCTCAATGTTGTTTCTTCCTCTGTTAACCTGGTGTTGAATAGGCATGTTCATGATCAATCGGGTTTAATTCCTAATGATGGCTTTGAGGGCAATGTTAATTTCGTTAATATCCCTATTCCAGTTATGTCTAATGTTGAAAGTAATGCTCATATGGCTAAGTCTGGAAAAAATGATGTTTTGCTTAATACTGACTGGTTGGTTTTGGAGGATTCCTTTTCTTTTATCCAAACCTAGTTATCTATCACATTTCTTTTGTCAGTTTGAATGTCCTCAATTGCCAACTCACACCCACAATTGCATATACAAGACGCCAAACCTATGACCATGTAGTGGAAGCTGAAATTTCATCACAAATGTTTCATTTGTGACGGTTTTTTCATTACTTCTTAAAACATCGTTATAGTACAAAAATTTTAATTATCATATTTAAAAAGTGCTTTAAGAAGCAGCGAGAAAGCCATCCCAAACGAAGCCTAAGGTTTCATTTGTGACAACTTTATTACTACTACTACTTAAAGAGAAAAAAATACTTAAAGGAGTAAGAAAATTGTTCCAAATGAAGCTTAAATCTCTCAACTTTAATATATAAATTAAATAGCAGAGAAATATTCTAAATAAAATTATACAAAATGTTACTCTTCTTATAAGTTGCTAATAAAAAAATTTTAAAATCCAAAACTATATTTCCATTCACATTACCCAAAATCCTAATGATTTACAATGAAACACAAATATCACTTTTCAAGAACCCGTTGAACAGAAAATAGCGTACAAAAATCATTATAATTTACATTTATTCAACATTAATATAATGATTAATTTTTTTTATTAGAAATTTCAAATTTGTACTATGAAATTACAAATTCATCGCAGGAAGAATTAAATCCAGCAATCTTAAGACCTTTCAATTAATATATAATTAGCACTAATTTGAACCGCCATTAACGTCGTTTCATGAGTTTTTTTCTTCTTTGATTTCAAATCACCATTAGCAAATAAGCTGTGGGAATCTCAGCGACGGGTGAGGAGATAGGGGCGAAAGAGGCGGCATATTGAAGAGCTCTTCAACATCCGCCCCTTCCAACACCACCGACCATATTGACGGTGTTAAAGGCCCTTCCGACGGAATATTCCTCTCAGATTCCTCCTCCCTCGTCCTCTTAACCTCCCTTTCCGCTGCCTCGTCCTCCCTTCCCCTCTTCTCCACCGCCATCGCCGGCCGAACCCAATTGGCCGAGCTTCCAACCTCATTGGGAAAGTTCAGAATCGCCTTGCTGCCGCGCATCTGAAACGCGGCGCGGTCGTAAGCCCGCGCGGCTTCCATCGCGGTATCAAAAGTCCCGAGCCAAACCCTAGATCCCCTGCGCTTGGGATCGCGGATCTCCGCCGCAAACTTCCCCCACGGGCGCTGCCGCACGCCGCGGTACCTATGAAAATCGAACAGCTCCGCTGGGCGAAGATCGCCGTCGGAGGCGTTGATCCACTCCACCTGCGGAGCGACGGCGTTGGGGATGTTGCGCATGAGCCCGATTTCGGATCGATCGCCACCGAATCGGATCATTTTTTGAGCCGGTTCGCAAAATCTGAACCCGCCGCCGTAGTGGTCGGGGATGGGTGAGGTTTGGATATCTGTCTGATCGAGGTAATCGGAGATGGTGAGTTCGCTAGAAGAGGTGGTGGCGGCCGGAGGGGGGGACGGGAAACTGGTAAAGAGGTCGTCAAAGGAGGCGGCGGCGTCGCCGAAAAGATGCTCTCGTATTTGATTGAGTACTGAGATGCTTTGGGCTGTTTCCATGGAGGTTAGAGAGAGCAGTGAGAGTAGTGAAGCTCGAGGTTAGCTGGTGGATGGACGGAAAGCTTTGGGTGTATTTATACTTAAGATGGAGAGAAGAAAACCGCGTCGAAAGGTCTGAAGGTTCAATTGGAATTGCGGCTTCAATTATGATAACCGAAATTTTAGCTTTTGCATAAAAATCAGATACAACTATTTTTTATTTTTTAAAATAAAAATCAGATACAGCTAGTTCTAACTCATGCCTTTAATATTTTATTAGAGGTGAATTTGAAAATGTATAAATTTTTTAATGTATTTATATTATATTTATATTTTAAAGTATATATATATATATGATAATTTATAATTATGTACATCTCTTGTACCCTTCTATATAATAATGATGTAATTTTTTACTCCAAATTATATATTAAAAGTGTCATAAATTTAATTTTTTTTAATTATTTTTAGATTTTTATATTAGGAAATATGACTTTATATGCTTTTTAATGCCTAAAATTGGACAAATATACTTCTTATTTTGTTTATTGAAAAAATGTGCACTATAACCTAATTTGGACCAAAATATCCCTAATCTAAACCACATAATACTTTTTTTATATCACAAGCAATCAAAATTAATGGTAATAACATTTGAACAATATTTAAATAAAATTTCAATCAAGATTATGGTTCTATGCAATAAAAATTTGGATAATGATTAAATATTTTTGAACCTGAATAAAACATTAATTATTATCCTAAAAGAATATTAATTATTATTACCTCCACTTTGGACCATGGTTACTTTTTTAAGTCAACCATGACCAAAATTATCTCAAATATAGTTTGAATAAGATTTAAATAAAATTCGAAGAAGGTTATGACATATGCCATAAAAATTTTTCAATCAAAGGTTTGAGCATGATTTGAATAAGATTTAAATAATATACTATTAGAAAAAATACAAAATAATTGAATTAGATAAAAAAATAAAATAATTAATACTTGGAGAAAGACAAAGAATGGAGCACTGCAGTTTAGGGTTTAGGGTGCTCTGCACCCCAGCATTGCAGCATTGTCAAGCAAACTTGTGATAGAGAGTTGAGCTCCGCAACGATCCAACTTGGCACCGGTACGCTCAAAAACGGGCTAGCATTTTTCTTTCTCGTTTTTCAGTAAGGGTTGCTTTATTGCTTCCATATTGCTTGCCTTCCATCCTTCCTCTCCATTCGGCGAGCCTCCACGACCTACTATCAAGCCGGCGGCGGATCGACTCATTTTATTTCTTCTCATCTTGCTTGCTTTCTTCCTTCCCGTGCTCTATCCTTCCTCTGGATCCATTTGGCAGCCTATTTGCAGCCCTTCTGTAGTATAGGCTGCCACAACCAGTTCGATAACACTTAAACTATATGATTTCAGCTTTTTTTTTTCATCAGATATGGTATTCAATTCGAATGAGTTATGTCAATATAGGTGTTTGTTTATGCTTTTATTCCTTTAAACCAGCTGTTTGTTTATGTAGTTATCATATATAAGTTAAAGAAGTTATGAAAAAAAGTTTTATTTGGATCTATACGTGAAAGAACTTAGTGATTGATTTGAGAAAGAATGATTTTATTTGGGTTTGGCTATGCTTTTCCAGTTACTTATTTGCTCGTTTCTCTGCTATTGGATGAATTATTCTGCGTTGATGTCAGACGTAGAGAACCATCTGGTTTGTCTCTGTGATAATAAAAGCATAGTTCACCGTCCTTTTCTGTTCACTCAGAGACAAAACCGAACGATTCTTTCCGTCCAGTACCTGCACAGAATAATCTCTCATACTATTGGATTCGTGATTGCTGGTATTATCTCGTGGTGCTTTCACTTCCCGACTATTGATTTTGTTTGTCTGTTTTGTCTCTTTGATTGTTTCTTCTCTAGATTCATTTGGTTTAGCAAACTTTTGGAGTTCTTTTGATAGAATTTTTTGATCTACAAGTACTATGATGAATTATTTACATCCTCATTGGTATTCGTTTTATTTTATTGGGATTTCCAAAACCTAAAGTAATAACTTGCCTTTAGTTCTTGCAATTTTATACTTTGATTTGTTTAATTTCTGTTTTCTTTAGTTCTTTCACGCTCTGATTATTTTTTTGATCCAAAGATTTTATGCTTTAAGTATTTAGGGCTCTAATAGGAATTGCAAATTAGGATTGGAAGGTTATTCATTGTTCTGATTGGGTAATCCCTGGTCTTTCTTGTCCTTAGTGTCAAAGTTGTCTTTATTCATTCTTGTTCTCGTGGTCAAAGCATATGCTGGATTAGCATTGGTACGTCTCCAAAAATAGTCTTGTTCGTGCACGAATCTTGAGGCATATTAAAGTTAAAAACTTTCAAAATTAAATTCAGGATCATCTGAACTCTAATTTTAGCAAACTTACAGACAAACTGAACGTCTTAAAGAGAAGAATTTGAAGACATTAAAATCAATCCAATCCGAGCCCAAATCATCTGCTGACTACGGTCCCTCCAACCAATGTCATTCGCCGACTAAGGGTCTCTTCGACCTCTATCAACCGCAGACTACGGTCTTTCTGACCACCTTTGTTCTTCGACTATAGACTATAGTCCCTCTGGCCTCCTTCACCCGTCGAGTAAGGTCCCTCCAAGCTCCTTCGTCCTGCCAACCAAATGAACAGGCCAACTTCTCTTGAGAATGACTCTCTTATCATTAGATTCTTCTAAGCACCATCATGTAATGTGCTCTATATATTGTGTATTTACTATATCATGCCAAGGCATTTCCCATGTAGAAGAACCTCATTTGTAATCAACAATAAGCACTAGTGAAATCATTTTAATTGGGCTGTGGCTTTTTCCTTTTTTAAGGTTTTCAATATAAAAATTATGGCGTCTCTTATGACTCTTGCACACCTCTCTCTTATCTGCTTATGTGTTTGATTTTCGTATAAAACTTGGACACTAAAGCATATCTCTCTCTACCGTTACGAATATACCAGCATGCAACAACCAAAAGTGATACAAAGTCCAAATTTTAGACATAAATATTTATTAATATTTTTATCAATAGAATCAAAAGAGTGCATAAGCCGATAAGCATTAATCTTATCCCATTTAGATAAAAAGTCCACAATAGCTATGTTTAATATAAAATTTTTATTTTTATTTTTCATACAATCATGCTTGCTAAATATAGAGTTAGTCCTTTTATTTTCTCTCTTTTAAAATATTAATTCCGTCATCATCAATAAACATTTACTCATAAAAATATTATTCTTACTATTTTAACCTTTCTATACACTAAAATTTATTTATTTTTATTCGTAAAGACTTCGTCAATATTAAAAAATTATCTGCTCAAAATTAATGTTAGGCTTATTTTATAATAATTTCCACACAAAAAAAACATTATAAATTTACGGTCCCCTAAAATCCGATGCTGTCCACTCAATGGTTCCGTGCACGGCAGCTGTACGTCTAAAAGTGATTATATACAACGCAATTTAATTAGCCGTAGTAATTAAACTTTTAGGCTGTAATTAGCAGATAATTAGCTTACCACACCTCGATTTTAACTAATTAATTATACCATTAAGACTTGGTAAGGGCCATTAAGTTGGCTTGGTAAGATTAAATCTTAAATAGCATGAGATCTCACGCAAGCAAACTAAAATTATATTATTGTTTGATTTGTTTCATTAATTTGAATAAGGGTTTTAAGCAAATAAATATAATTAATAAAACAGTTGTTAATGAACCCTTCGCTGAGAAGTTTCAATTGACTTGAATAGGCCAATAGCACAAATTGAGGAGGATGAAGAAGAAAAGAATAATAAAATAATTAAAGATGATATTGAGTTGAGTGGTGGCCGGCGGTGATTTTTAAACCGCTGCTTAGGATGATGTCGAAGTTGGTCAAAATTAACAGTAGTTATTAAAATCATGTTGTTGATAGGTGTGTAAATAAATGATCCGATCAGCCAATCTGACTCAGACCCGGCGCCCTAAGAAAATCTGAGTTCTAGTTTGTACGTGTTATGCATTTCAAACCGTTTATTTAACTGGTTGTATTCGGGTAGACCCATAAACTAGATTTTGATCCAAATAATGACTTGTTTAATTTTTTTTCTTAAATTCTTTTATTTGTTTGTATATATATTTTTTTATTTTTTATCAATTAACCTAAAATATATGATTAACAAGTTAATAATTCTAATTAAAACAGGTTATAAGATCAACTTCGGGTTCACCTTTTTGACCTCTTATTAAATGTAGGGGTGTCAATTTCGGGTCACGGGTCGGGTTCGGGTCGAACCCGAAATTGACCCGGCACTATTCAGGTCAACTCGAACCCGACCCGCTTCGGGTCCGAGTCAACCTGACACGACCCGAATGACCAGTTTCCAACAAAAAAATTGCTAGTTTTCGGATCAAAATGGGTCTATCTCCTCTTTTTCGGGTCAAAAACGAGTCTATCTCCTCTTTTTCGGGTCAAAAACATGTCAAAATCAGGTCAATCTCAGGTTGTCGGGTCAAAATCGGGTCAAAGGGTTAACCCAAGCCCGACGCGATTTTTGAAACGGGTTGAAATGTTGAACCCGAAATTTTCGGGTCGGATTCGAGTCGGGTTTTTGGGTCTTGTCAAATATTGACAACCCTAATTAAATGGATCTAATTCGGGTTGATCATATTTAGGTTGGTTCAATTTCGGGACAGGCCTAAATCCTACCCCGTTCACCTATTTTGATAGTGTCTAACTATGCTTATCTTAATTCATAACGATAGTATTAATTAAAATTTGAGTAAAATTTAAATTGTGTAGAAAATAATCATTTTTTAGTCAAGTTTTAATTGATTTGAATTCATTCTCTTTATTGCATGAAAGAAATCAAATTGATGGTTGAGGATCGATCTCAATTGTCTTTGTTTTAGCAATCACATAGAGTAGAGAGGCAAAATTATTACGTGCGGTGTCCAGAGGTCAATCTGAACGCGTGAGTGATATGGCACGTCTGAATTGACCTCCGAGCATGTCCATACTCCACACGTAATAATCTCTCAAAAGAGAGGGGGCACTTAGATTTTTAATATTAAAATTTCTCATAAGAGAGAATGATGAGGCTAAGCTCACTTCAACAATATCCATTATTTATAAAAATTAGAGCAAAGTAATTGAAGCCCATCTTTAAGTAATTGAAGATGTTATAGTTATAGTCGGCCTAAAAATATTGTTATAAAGTGGATTGCCATAGCATGAGAGGAGCGACACTTGATATAAGAAGTATTTTAAGGCTATTTTGTTGTAGAGATAGGGATGATTCAGCTTCTTTTTTCAGGATGGATAAAATTTTAATTAATTAAATAATAATAAAAAATAAAAAAATAAATGAAATAATAACATGAAATAATAATAATAATAAAATATATATTTTTTTAAAAAATATTAATCAGCATAATGCTATCAAATTTATAAGAGAAAAGTTTTATCATTTATCTTCCAATTTAATATAGATTTTAGTAATAATATAAAGGTGGTTTTACATACATACCACTTTATTTTATGCTATTTACACATCTAACATCCAAAATATTAATATTACATGATTACCACCCATAAGTTGGAATATAATCATATAAGTTAAGTTGAACTCAGTGCTAGAGAGAGTTGTCTTAGATGGTTTGTTCACATAAAATCAACCCTGGCTTCTGATTCTGAGAGGAGACCCAATCCAAGCCTTCGATCTTCAGAAAAGAAATGCCCCAAGTGCCTTTGATCCTCAGAGAAGAGATTCCTCAGCAGCTGCAGCCTATAGGAGAACCAAACCCGGCTGAAGGACTACGACCGAAAATTGAGGGGTGCGGGAAATTGAGCTATAATTTATTATGTTTTTTAAAATAATTGAGGGGTGCGGGAAAAATGAGATATAATTTAAATTGTTTTTCTTTAATTTTTATTATTAGTCGAGCTTTATTCTATAAGTTAGAGCCAACTTGCTTGTAACGTGAGAGAGAAAATGATTATCATTCAAGTAGTTCTTTCTTATAATAAATGGGTAAAAAAGTGAGAAATTAAATGAAAATTAATAAATAAGAAAATGAGATATAAGTTTAAATATTTTTAATAATATAATCCTTAAAAATATTTTATATTAATATAATTTAAACTAGTCGACTTGCAAGCTAACGAGTCAAGTTAAGATTGTCTCAAGTTTGACTTGTTAGCTTATCAAGCTTGGTGAACGAGCCATTTATTGAGTCGAGCTTGGGCCGGCTTATCTTGACCCACAACAACATTAGTTGATTTCAAGCTAGTTTATACTAATTATATTTGAATTCGAGTCAAAATTTGATTGAATTGACTCGAAATCGAATTGTTATATCTCATCCTTATTTGGTTTCAAGTTTAAATTTTGAATAAATTCGATTACCCATCCATCGTTGTTCGACTCATAGTTTGTCCATCGTTACTCAATCATTGCAGCTAATTCGCTATCTTCTGACCACCGTAACTCTTTCATTATCATCTAATTGTTGTCATCTATCTTCTGACCACCATAACTTTGAATAGTTTCGCACAAAGATCTCATATATAAATATCACATAATGCAATATTTTAACCCGATTAGATCACATAATAATTTTCTTTTTCCTAATTTTCAAAAGAAAACTAATAGTTCATGTATTCTTTTCTTTTATATATTTATATACGAGATCTTTGTGCAAAACTAAAACATAAAACATTCTCTCTATAATCACACATTTTCTAAGCATACAAAGCCTCATTGATTTCATACATCAAATTAATATACTGCTCGATATTCTTAATAAAAATTATATCTAATAAATTAAATATACAAATTCTTTATAATCCTAATATTTAAAAGAAATTATTCATAAAACTATTTGTAATTTTAATTTGCATTTTAAAAGCTAATTATACTTTGCTAGTTCAAGAGATTACCCGTGGCTGAAAGATGATGAAGTTCGTAGTCTTTAGAACTGTTAGGGTCTAATGAATGAGAAATTATTACAGGCGGGGTTTGGACGGTTTTCAGACTCCAATAAAAAAAGGTCATGTCGTCTATAGACTGTGTACAAATTATACACATGATGTGTATAAGCGATATGAACTTATCCTTATTGGAGTTCGAAGACAAGTCGAATCCAAACTCTGTAAGTAATAATCTCTTGTGCAACATATGTTAAAGAAAAGGAGCTGAAAGTAGTAAACAATCACTTTAATTAAATTTCAACCATGCAATTTTGGATTTATGTGGATAAATTTTATAAAAACCCACTCTTTCTTTGATTTCCAATAAAGATTGACCCTTTTTGCTGTTCACACTTCACTTGTGACAAAAAACTATTCAAAGTTACTTAAGTATTGTTTGCAATTAGAAATGCAAAAAATAAAATTTTCAAAGATGCAATTTATCTTTGCAATTTTTAACTGAAAAAATTAAGTCCTAATAGTCTCTTTTTGTTGGTGGGAAATCAAATGGATATGGGATTTTAAATTATTATTTATTTTTTATTTAAGTGAAGAGAGAGTAAAAGAGAATTATTAATTTTCATTTGATTGATGATAAATTAAATTATTATTTTTGATAAATAATTATTATCTGATAAATGTCAATGGTTAGATAAATTTATTTATTTATTTTTTAATTATTTAGTCAAAATTTATCCACAAAAAATGTATGTGTTCATATGTTCATGTAAATTTAGTTATTTATTGAATATATTTAAGCAAATAATTTTCTACAATTCTAACTTCTACACAATATATTATCTACATCAAGATTTTCTGATCATCTTAATCAGAATTAGAAAATTTATTATCAATAATACAAAATTTTAATTGATATATGCAGTTTTGTTGATTTTCTATCACTAAGTGTCTTTATAAATCTTGGATTAACTCATGTTAAGCTCTGATCTTATCTTTCAAAATTTTGCAATTTTGGAGGGCATCACAAATATTTTTTGCACCATCACCCTTGCAATCGCTAAGCTAAACTACATCTAAATTTATCATTGCTAGCAATTATCGTGGCCTGACCATTGTCATTCGACCATCATCTCCTGACTGTCATTTCCTAACTATCACAATTATCATCACCTGATCACTATTGTCTTGTCATTGTCACCTAACGCCCATCATCTGATTGTCATCGCTTGAATACCACTGTATGACTATTGTTGCCTAACTGCCATCACCCTGTGACCATCTCTAGACTGCCTATGGTCATCGACAACACTGTTAACTATTAATTTGCATCCATGAAGTGGTTCTCCAAGATGGCATATCATGAAGCAAGAAATCAAAGCCAGATGTTTGGGCAATCAATGTAGAAAGGGTTTGTTGATCTATAATTTCTTGGACGACAAACAATGGAGATGATGATGGATGTTGGAGCCACATTGGATCACCCGATAATGTTCAACTAGAGAATAAATTAATATGATATGTGTCATAAATGACAATTAGAGGTTGTAGAAAATTCTAGGAATTAGGAGAAAGAAGAACGAAATTAAGCGAATTATATGTTAAGGAACTAATTCATTTCATTGATGTTTACTTCTCCCTAATTATGACTATGATGATATATTAATTATGTATTTACCTCTAATCCAACCCAAACTTATTCCTTATAATTATTATCACTTGCACATCTTTATCATTAACTACTAACACATAACGCCTCTTTTCACGTATATGATTTCGTTTGTGACAATTTTTTTATTACTTTTTAGTGCAAAAAATTCTTTATAGAGCGAAAAAAATAATGATAAAAAATTATCCCAAATAAAGCATATAAAAATCTTATCATCTTACTCTCTTAAATACAAAATTCACCTCCCTTCAATATTTTGTATTTAGAAAAAATTTGTGTATATACATTTGTAGTCAAAATGTTTTAAAACTTGAAGTATTAGTTATGTTGTTAAAAGAAAAATGAAGCAAAATGAGATTTTTATTAAAATATATTAAAATTTTATTATTTTATTTTTAAAAATTATTATTAATGCATTAAAAAAGGCTGATTCTTGATGTAATCCAACTGCAATAGGTGATTATCTAACACAACCCTTCACTTTTTTTATCGAGGACTTGGGACTTGGCTGACTATTAGATTTAAACGAGAATATGACTTTTTATTTGACACAATGGAAAAAAAGATTCATGTAGCCAACTCTATATAATGGAACGAAATCTTGATGTTGTTGTTGTTCCTGTTGCATTAATTTTTTTTTTAAATTATAAGGAAAATAATTTTTCAAAATTAGGAAGTTTTATTTTTAAAATTAACATAAACATTATTCATTATTTATAAATTATGAACTTCTAAATATCATATAATTTAAAACTTTAAAACACCATATTTCACACGCTAATTTTTTATGCATAGAGCCCGCAGACGATAAAACTTTAAACTCTTACCTTTATGTCGTGCGTATTGGGTAAAGCCACCCACAGGCGGTGACTGTATCCCATCTCTCCCCCACCTATAAGTAGATCTTAAGCATCCCTTGATTGTTTCCTCAACAGCAAGCCTCGAGCTTTCCACTCTCACTTCTCTGAACTCTCCATGATGGCAACAGAGCAAAGCTTCGCCCTCGAACTTATACGCGAACACCTCTTCGGAGATGCAGCCGCCTCCCTCGAAGACTTACTGATTGGCCTCCCTACGCCGCCGCCGGCGACCACCCATTCTTACGGCGATCTCAACATTTCCGACTACCTGGAGCAGACCGAGACCTACTACAACTGTCCGGTCCCCGTTCCCGCTGCCTCCTCCGTTCAAGCTCCCGTCCCCGCTCCCACTGCTGCCCCCGAACCGTACATCGGCGGCTTCAGGTTCCGCGAACCGGCGCAAACAATGATCCGATTCGGCGGCGACCGGGCCGATATCGGCCTCACGCTCAACATCCCCCACGCCGCCGCTCCAAAAGTGGAATGGATCGACGGCTCCGACGGCGATCTCCGGCCGCCGGAGCTATTCGATTTCCATCGGTACCGCGGCGTGCGGCAGCGGCCATGGGGGAAGTTCGCGGCGGAGATCCGCGATCCCAAGCGCAGGGGATCTAGGGTTTGGCTCGGGACTTTTGATACCGCCGTGGAGGCCGCGCGGGCTTACGATCGTGCCGCGTTCCAGATGCGCGGCAGCAAGGCGATTCTTAACTTTCCCAATGAGGTCGGAAGCTCGGCCGACTGGGTTCGGCCGGCGATGGCGGTTGAGAAGCGGGCAAGGGAGGAAGAGGGGGAGGCGGCAAGGGAGGTGAAAAGGAAGAGAGAGGAGGAGTCGAAGAGTAGTATTACGTCGGAAGGCCCGCTGACCCCGTCGACATGGTCAGCTGTATGGGAGGGGGCGGACGTTAAGGGGCTCTTCAACTTGCCGCCGCTCTCGCCGTTATCTCCCCATCCGTCGCTTGGATTCCCGCAGCTGCTGGTCATTTGAATTTTGAAGAAATTAGGGCGCCGGTAAGGTAGGAGGGAAACAGTGAAGCAGAACAATAATTCACCCAAAAAAAAGTGAGTAATCTTACTGTTAAATATATGTAAAATTGTAAACTGCGTGTGAGATTTCGACGATGAGTTTTTGTGTGTTCTTTAACATGTTCATAGGTTTTGGTTCTAATTGTAAAATTAAAATTATTGTTCTTTGGAAACTATTGAAGAGAATTTTGTTTGGGATATTTGCATAAGTAATATTGACTTTTTTTAATTTATAAATTAATGATGAGGTTATTTTTTGAACTATTAAATTCATATATTTATTTATAGAAAGAAAGTAAAAATATGTTGATTAAATTTTAATCATGATGGGCTTTTAAAATTATTAGGTTTATTTTGAGATTAATTTTTTGAACACTGCACAAATTTTAACGAGCAGAAAATTATAAAATTAGAGGGGTAAAAAACAAGAAAAAACAGAGGAGGATTTATGTTTATACATTCTCATGTATTTATTTATAGATCTAACATTTAAATTTTGACTTAAATTAAACTGATTTATTCTCAATAATAAGTTATTTTTTAGTAAAGTTGCATAGTCAAATCTCTACTTGATTTGATGAGATTCAATCGTTCAAATCTCAAGAATATCCAAAGTCAACACTATTTTGACTTTGAGGGACAAAGAGAAATTACTAATGAATGAATAGATGGATAATGTAGAGCATCATTTCACTTATCATCACATTCAAGTGGACAAAACAAGCCAATTATCTTGCTTAGGTTTTCTTTCTCGTGTTTTTTTTTTTTTTTGCAAAAAATCCAATCCGAAAAATTTGGCTTCGGACCCCACAAAAACAGGTCAGATTCGGGTCATATTTTTGGGTCCGTTTATAGTTTGGGTCGTGTTTGGATCAACCTGGCAACCCGGGTTTGACCGGAATTGACCCGCTCACCTCAGACCTTTCATTCTCCAATCGAACCAACCCTAACACCCACGCTGTTGTTACAGCCTGTAGCGCACGTCCAGCACTTCCACGCTGCTACGCATGCCCCACGCCTCGACCTCGACAGCTAGGATGTCACTTGCGCTCGACGACTAGCTCTGGCAGTTGGACAAGCTGGATGGCACTCACACTCGACTCTACCGCGACAGCTAGGGCTACACACACCCCGTCAACCTCGCACTCGTTGGCTCTCACACTCGCCACTCACCGACTCACGTTTGACACGACAGAATTGCAATCCAAGCGGTTGGGTCACGACACAACCTAAACCCTATTCCGGGTTTGTGGGTCGGGTCAGGTCAACCCGTAACCCATGTAGGTCCGGTTCACGTTGAAAATCATGACCCATTTGTAAAATCGGGTCGGGTTCAGATCAACCCGTTTACGCCCGGGTCAAGTCGGGTTGGACCCGAACCCGACTTGTTGACCTGAATTGACACTCCTATTTGGTATAGCTTTTAATCACTATTTTTTCACTACTTTAAAACAAATTGTACTAGAAAATTATTTTAAAAGTAGTGAGAAAACTGTCTCAAATTAAGGCTTCATTTGTGATAGCCGACATCTTTTCTTACTGCCTTCTAAAATAACATTTTCGTGCAAAAATTTCTTGAATTAAGATTTTTTGTACTGAAAAACTACTTTAAAAATAGTAAGAAAGCTACCCGAAATGAAACCTAAACCTTAATTATTCCTAACTTTAATTTTTATTCCATCTTTACATTAAAGCCAAGTGATACAAGAAAATCTCCTCAAGATAATATAACTATATCACTTACATGGATTAAATGAAAAGTAATTAAGCAATATGCTTAAATCAATTTCCCCTTCTTTCATTTCCCCTTCTTTCATTAGTAACATCATCATCATCATCTAATTAAAATCATTGGTGCCCATTATGATGCTTCTTAAGGATACACATAAATCAAATTCTTGCAAATATAATAAAAACTATTACTCATTTAAAAGTGCTAATATTCAATTAAAACTTTAAAATTATTATTATATATATGGCATACTCAAATTTTTGGAACATCACCTGATATTAAATCTTTTTATGAAAATAATTTTGTATTATAAATTTTTTTAATTAAAAATTTTTAGACTACAAAACTATTTTAAAAAGTAGCAAAAAAATTGTCCCAAACAAAACCTTGAGATAATTTTCTCCTGTTTTCTGAAATAACTTTTAAATACAAAATTTTCTAATTCAAAAAGCAAGAAAAAAACTGTTCCAAACAAAGCCTAAAAAAGATTACCAAGATTACATTGAAATAAGAATCTCAGTGCAGTAAAAGTAACTCAAAGGATTGCTCATGTGAACCTGTAAATACATCAATTTTAATTCTTAAATTAAAAGAAAAATGAAAGGTTAGTAAGCACAATCTCATAATCAATTAAATGGGATTCCCAATGTTTTGAATAAGATTAAAACCAAATGCAAATTTATAAATATGACCAGCTCAAAATGATTTATAACAGTTGCGGACTGAAGAGAGTAATCAATTCAGAAATGCCGCTTCCCACCCAAAAACCAAAGAAAAAAAAACCTCCGAGCAACTATAGGGAAAACCTCCCATTTCATCAAAAACAAGTGCGTCTCTATGGCATTGGCTGTCGCCTCCTGCAATTGAATATCAACACAATAAGATAAATGCTCTTTCAATCGTGATGAGAAATTATTCTTTGCGGACGCCGGATGGTCCAGAGACTAATCAGACCGCGTCACGTCACCCAGTATACAACGGTACCGAACCGAACAAAAAATAACGTGACGTGTTTTGCTTGGTCTTTGAACCCCGTCCGGAGTCCGCACAGAATAATTTTTCCAGTAATTGAGCTAAAATCTAATCAAATCATCAAACTACAATACAATCCAAATATAGTTTGAAATTTTAGAATTTGTTGAATTGCCATTTGGTTCAGGTCGAAACTTGCAATTGTATTGATTCGTGTTTAATCATAACACTTTTTTTATTAGCTTATTTATTTAACAAGTTAAACACAAGCAAGATCTTATTCAATCGTGTTCGATGCATAATATAATTTGATTATGTTTATAAATATGTGCATGGATACTTTCATATATATGTATTTATGTATATGTATGTGTTCATGTTATATATTTATGTTATGACAAATTTTATAATTCATATGTAATTTTCAAATTGATTTTAAGTATGTGAACAGCTAGTGTTCAGCTCGATAAATTAACGAGCTAAAAATAATAATAATAAACTCATTGGCTTAGCGAACCGAGCCAAATCATACAAAAGCTCGCCCAAGCTCAACTCATTTATACTCCCTACCTAACTAAAACAACCAAGAGCCATAAGATGAGTTATTGCAAACTTAGCTCAACAAATTGAAATATCAACGGTAAAATTGCTACTTTTATCACATTTAGTAGAACAAATATGAACAAATAAATACCTTTTAGATCGAACCCGGTCCTCCTCGTATTCCATCATTAGTCCTCCAGTATCAGAGAAGAGGGTCTCATCGTGTCCTCGTAAGTCCAAGTCGGCCTGCTTAAAGTGTGTAACTTCTGCCATCATGTAAGTAAGATACATCGACCAACAGTGCTTTTAATAGGCAGCTTTAATATTTTAGAGCTGCTACAAGTCTTAAAATACTATATTCATAACATATAGAGTGATGGAGAATATTACATCTTAAGAAATGATTTATTAATATATTCAGCTAAGAAATACTTCAATGAATCAATGTTAAGGAAATAATATATTGAAATGTATGTCATTTAGCTCACCTTTAGCGTCTTTTTCACATCTTCCACCTTGTCTTCAACTTCTTTCCGGTGTCTTTTGTCTACCTCATTCATGCTATCAGCCCATTTGATTTTATCTTGAATAGAATGGAGTAAGTTGTCAGAAAGGCTCAGCCTGCAAGTCATGGAGAAAAGAAAGAATTGAAGGGAATTGAGAAAATTTAGGGCTAAATCAGGGCATACATTGAAGTTGTATGGAGTATCTGACTAGCAAAATATATTAGATGGAGCTAAATAAGGGCAAAGAAATCGCTATTTTCAGCCTCAGATGAGAAAATTTAAGGGCTGATATTTATGTGAACAGACAAAAGTAAATCTTGAGCCAAAATTAGAGAAATGAATCCATATTTGAATTTTAAATAGTGCTAGAGTGGGTTTAAATATGATAAAAATTAAATAAAAACATTAGAACTGTTTTGTAACATAATCACAGGTAATAATTTTAGTATTGGACAATAAATAAATCCCAAAAAACTAGGCCGAGTGTGTGACAAATAAGAATGTTAAAATAAATGCATGACAAAATTAAAATGATGGATAGAGAAACATAATATAGATGGCGATGGGGAGTAGCATACAATGTAGTTGAGGTATTCAAAAACAGAATTAGGTGATTTATGCATATACAATAGAGCATAGAAGATACTTGTACATACACTTGATGTGGGAGGATGAGAAAAATATAAAAAGCAGATCAAAGATTACATCGATAGAAGTTGTAAGAAAAATTTCACATAATAGATTTAATCTCTCAAATGGCATTCAACGGGAATGAACGGATATTGAGCCGTCAAATTGACCTCTAAATAGTTGGAATAATGCTCATGGTGATTATGATAGTGACTCACATTTTGTAAAGCACTTCAAACTATTCACCTTTGTCTCCTAGTGGCATTGCTCGGCTTGTTCTTGATCTTCCTCCGTTAAAACCCCACCATCAAGAGTGTGAGTGAGGGACCCAAGGTGAATAGTTCTATTTGTTAAACCGTGGATTATTGTTTCTTTTCCATAACATTACTTTCTCTATTTTATAATGTTAAATTGAGATCATCCTGTTAATCTAGTTGTAATCGCATGCCTTACATAATTTCTAATTGATAATTTTGAGAACCTAACTTGGGAAAACACAAAGTCTATAACTAGCAAAGCTTTAATAATCAAATATTAAAATCCTCAAGTAGTTCTTATTTTCCTTGCATGGTTTTACATCACCAACCTTTTCATGTATATGCTTATTTCGTATCCTGTCTCTGAGAGTAAATCCACTCATCCACCTGAGCATCCTCATCTCTATAACACTTAACTTAATATTATGCTTCTCTTTTAATGGCCAACATTCTGCACCAGAAAGCATTGCAGGTGTAATTACCATCTTATAAAATTTTCCCTTAAGTTTGAGAGGGACTTTTCTATCCACAACAAGCCCGATGCATTCCTCTACTTCAATCATGCAACTTAAATTCTACTAATAAAATCTCAATCTATTTCACCATCACTCTGAACAATAGATAGACCCAAGATATATAAAACGTGTACTCTTATTAATGACTTGATTGCCCAAAATCATAATCCCCGAAATAGATCTATTATTATTAACACCAATCAATAAAATTATATCATGGGTGGATCTTTAGAACGGGAAACTTAATAATACAAATACCAGTTAGCTAGTGTTTGTATCATGCTGGTTACTTGTTCTGGCCTCAAATCCCTGCCAGCAGCAAATTGAACCTGTTCCATTAAAAAGAATATAAGGAAAAAAAAACTGAATCTTAAGTGGATGTAGTAAAAAACATGGCGACACAAGAAATATGACAGAAGATTCAAACCTCAAAGCACCTGCGCATTTGATCCAGTTTTCCTCTAACAATTCCCTGAAGGAACATTAAAACATGAGTAAGGATTTAATCTCTCAAATGACATTCAACAGGAATGAACGGATATTGAGCCGTCAAATTGACCATCTAAATAGTTGGAAGAATGCTCATGGTGATTATGATAGTGACTCACATTTTGTAAAGCACTTCAAACAACAACAAAAGCCTTTATCCCACTATGAGGGGTCGTCTACAAGTCTTTTTAGGTTTACCTCTATCTTTCTTAACACAAGTCAAATCTAATACATCTACTTTCCTAGCTGAGTCATCAGAAGGCCACCATTTTATGTGACGAAACCATCCCAGGCGACTCTCTCTAAGCTTATCATCCACTAAAGCGACTCCAATTGATGAGCACATCAGTCAGATATTTCAACACGTGTACCATCGGAGGAATCGTAGATCGACGGCTACGATTCGGAGTCAATATTTTTTATTTATTTTCATGTATCTTTCTATTTGATATTTTCAGTTTACTAGTTTACTCCTATGGGTGTTGAGTCTTTATTGTAGCCCATGGGGCATATGAGTCACTTCATTTTCTTTTGTTGAGACCTATATATAGAGTTCCTTATCTTTGTATGAGGTTAATGTTTAATCAATAGAAAATTTCAGATCTCTGAGTCCATAATTTTGTGAGCTTGAGAGGAGAGGAGTAGCTTAGGAGAGGCTCAAAAGAAATATCCAACAGCCCCCTTCGTGGGAGCTCTTGGTTCTTTTTATTTTTCTTCCCCTTTTCCCTTTTCTCCTAGCCGCCGCCAGCCCCAAACCCACCTCCTTAACACCGGCCAGAACCACACACCTCCCTCTTCCCTTAGCCGCCGGATCCCATCCTCCATCACTCGTCCGGCCCAAGTCCCCCACCTCCCTTCTACCGGAGCCAACACCCAAGCCGTCGACCCCATTGAATCCCCACCCGTCGGCCAATCCAAGGCCAAGCCTTAGAATTTGATTTTCAAATTCAAGTAGGCTTTCATTACTTTCCTAAATTAACCCCTTAAAAAAACATTTAGGAAGTTTCCTAATTGAATTCAATTTGAAAATTGAATTTCAAATACCTTCCTAAATGATAAAACCAAATTAGGAAAAAATTCAAATCTAATCAAATCTGAATTTAATTCAAAATTTGATTTGATTAAATATTCAATCACTTGGGCCCCACTTACAATGAACCTAGACACAATTTTAAACCCCCATAGGGCCAGCCCCCCTCTATCTCTCCACTTTGCCACCTAAGCAACAATTAATCCCCTCCTAAATTCCCTAATAGCCGCCGGCCCCATTAACCCCTTAATTGGGTTGATTTGAATTTAATTTTGGCGCCCCCTCTCTAAAGAAAATCTGAAATTCATAATTCAGATTTTTCTTCTCACCTTTTTCCCCCCACCACTGCTCAACCCAAAGGAAACCCTAACCCTAGCCGCCCCTCACCCTCGGCAAGTAATCTTCCACCATTCTCTCCCCTCCTCACAAATCTCAAGATTATTCTTCTCCAACCGACGTCACCATTATGTATGGCCGATCCGGAAGTTGACCATGGCTTCTTATATGATGATCAAGGACGAACCAACATTCTTGAATCTCTTTTCTTCGACGTGAACCTAGAAGTGGACGCTTCCGTGGAAGATTATTTAGATCGCATCCTTTTCATGCTAGTACCTTCCATCGAGGAGCACATTCCTACCGGGCGTTGGATACTCACTAGTCATCCCGTGGATTCCCCGCCGCCGGCAACTTCTCCAACGAACTATGCTGAGGGCACCATTTATCTCCTAGTGGCATCGCTCGACTTGTTCTTGATCTTCCTCCGTTAAAACCTCACCATCAAGAGTGTGAGTGAGGGACCCAAGGTGAACAGTTCTATTTGTTAAACCGTGGATTATTGTTTCTTTGCCATAACATTACTTCCTCTATTTTATGTTGTTAAATTGAGAGCATCTCGTTAATCTAGTTGTAACCACATGCCTTACATAATTTCTAATTGATAATTCTGAGAACCTAACTTGGGAAAACACAAAGTCTATAACTAGCAAAGCTTTAATAATCAAATATTAAAATCCCCAAGCAGTTCTTATTTTCCTTGCATGGTTTCACATCACCAACCTTTTCAAGTATATGCTCATTTTGTATCCTGTCTCTAAGAGTAAAGCCACTCATCCACCTGAGCATCCTCATCTCTACAACACTTAACTTAATATTATGCTTCTCTTTTAATGTCCAACATTCTGCACCAGAAATCATTGCATGTCTCATTACCATCTTATAGAATTTTCCCTTAAGTTTGAGAGGGACTTTTCTATCCACAACAGGCCCGATGCATTCCTCTACTTCAATTATGCAACTTAAATTCTACTAATAAAAACTCAATATATTTCACCATCACTCTGAATAATAGATAGACCCAAGATATATAAAACGTGTACTCTTATTAATGACTTGATTGCCCAAAGTCACAATCCCCGAAATAGATCTATTATTATTAACACCAATCAATAAAATTATATCTTGGGTGATAAACTAGGAGATCTTTAGAAAGGGAAACTTAATAATACAAATACCAGTTAGCTAGTGTTTGTATCATGCTGGTTACTTGTTCTGGCCTCAAATCCCTGCCAGCAGCAAATTGAACCTGTTCCAATAAAAAGAATATAAGGAAAAAAAAACTGAATCTTAAGTGGTTGCGGTTAAAAACATGGCGACACAAGAAATATGACAGAAGATTCAAACCTCAAAGCACCTGCGCATTTGATCCAGTTTTCCTCTAACAATTCCCTGAAGGAACATTAAAACATGAGTAAGGCCAATTTAATTAACATTTAGTTAGCATCAATGACTACAAATTACAAGGTAAATATCAGTACAAATTGATGGCATGTTGTGCTGTTCTATTTGTATGGGTAATTAAAAGATAAAATCCTATAGTTTCAAAAACTATTGAAAAGTTTTTTTCACATTGACTTTGAGATAAAGAGTTCTAATCTTTATAAACATGTGTAGAATAGGCTAAACAATGGAGCTTACATGCATGCACGAGATGGTCTACCAGGTTTCAATGTCTTCACGGATTAAATAATTTCTGCATTTTAATGATTTTAAATAGTGCATCCATTTCAAATTGACAATTTCTAAGCTTTGTAACCGGCCAAATTAAAGGTAGAGAATCAATCAAAAAATCATTCCGTTCACATATTCATCCTTTGGAGAATTACAAGACAAAAACTATTCCTCTTCCAACGCACAATTAATGCATATATGTGTGAAAAACCTGTTGAATCCTCGAAGATGAGCCACAAACCTTTTGCGTTGCAAGTTGTACAGAAAGGAGCAGAAATCCATCTTCAAGTGGTGTTTCACATGCCTAAAGCGACACTAAATTTTTTCCACTTTAACTCTTCACATACCAGTAACATATGAGTGACAATTTACTACAATCGTAAATGAAAATTATGAATTATTTTATGCTTATAATTGCTAAGCTCATGCCCCACATAACTTAAATCGAATCATTCTCTGGAAATTTTAATAGACTAAGATTAAGTTCACTATCAAAATTACTACGATTGATTGCGCTTACCACTCCAAACCAGTAAGGTTACAAAAAAATGTGAGATGTAAAAAGAGTGAACTGCTTATAAGATTTATAAAACTATATTTTAGATGCACTTTCCAATGAGCTTTTAATGTGTATTATAATTTCGAAGATGCAACTGATAAATGAAACACCTTCTAAAAAAAAGGGTTCCCGAAAATGCTAAACCAAAGAAATATGCCGAAGGAAATTTTCCTAAACTTTCAAATGGTTCTGCTAAAAAAATTTTCCCTCGAGTTCGGGAATTTCATCTTCCCATAGGCAGACATTTAAAAGAGGGTATCAATCTCCTAGAACTTTCTGTTGCTACTGCACAAGTAGAAAAATTACCAAATTTATAACGGGAAGAAGATATAAGGGATGCTTTTATGGGCAGTAAGATATTAGAAACAATAGCAAAGAGGTGAAACAAAGCAGAGACCGTCACTTAAACGGCTATTTTTTTCAAGGGAATGATAACAATTTAAGAGAAAAATTTCAGGAAAGCCGACCATGCAAAAACAAGGAACCAAGCATATTAAGGCCAAAAATATTTATTAAAAAAAAATTGTTTTATTTTTGAGAAAAATCCAGTCATCATGTATGACAATGCAGGTAAAATAAAAGGTAGGATAAATCAGTTACTCCAAAGAACTTTGTAGAAACTTGAGATAAAATAAATGTGTGATCACTAAAATGGACTGAATGAAAGAAAAATCAAAGCTGGCTGAATCTAGATTCTAGAGTAACAAGGCCAATTTGTGCCCCAACATAAATTACTATACCTCTTACACTACACTTACATAAGGAAACTGATAGACTAGTGATGGGGACATCAGATCGTGGAAGGTTTATCAGAGACGTGACCGTCGATCTACGGCCACGATTGAGTCATTGTATTTTTTATTTGTTTTATGCATTTTCTTATTATGATGTTATATTGTATTTGTTTCTTTTAGTTTTCTGTTGTACCCTTTTATTAAGGGAGGTCGTATGTACGCCCTAGGGGCATGGTTGTCCTTTTATGTTTTGAGTCTTTGTAAGAGGCTATTTATAGCCCCATTGTTCTTCTTTTCAAGTTAATGAATGATTGATTAAAATATTTATTCCCCTTGCATAAGTTCTTGTGAGAGCTTGAAAAATCGGAGAGAGATCCCTAGGAGAGGGAGAATTGCGCATCAATCACCAACCTAGATGAGTCGGGTTCGTGGTTCTATTTCGCATCTCTTCCTTTCTCCTTCCACCACCGCCGGCCAACATCATACCCACAGTTTCTCCCTTCCCAAAGCCCTTCTCCTTCTCTCCACCAAACTCCACATAATTCCCACCTAGCCGCCGGCCCCATACCCGAAACCCCTTCAACCCGCCAGCCCTAGATCCCCTTCCCATTGCTTTCCCTTGCATAATTTGAATTGGCATAATTTGGACAGGTTTTGGAATTCAAATTCAAACAATTTGAAATTTAAAATATTTCCTAAATTACCAAATCTATTTTAGGAAAGTTCCTAAATTAAATCTATTTGAATTTCAAATTCAAATTGGTTTTAATTAAATACTTTCCTAATTCCTAAACCTAAATTAGGCAAGCATTAAACACTTGATTAAATCCCTCCTCCTCATTAATGCCATCGGCTCCCTCTTTGGGATTGGGTTAGGAAATCTTTCCTAAACTCAATTCTTTACTTTGGAAATAATTTCAAATCCCATATCCCTCCTTGGCCGAAATCCTCATGCTTCCATTGACTTAATTTCTTTCCAAAAGGGAGACTCTCCTTATGAAATTAAATAAATCCTCCCCAACTCCACCACTCCCCTAACCGAAATCCTCATGCTTCCATTGACTTAGGAAGTCTTGAATTAAAACTCCCTCGATCTCTTTCCCAAAATCTGAACCAGAAGCCTCAACCTTGCTCTCACCCTTGGCCGGCCACCTCTTTTCCCTTTCACCTATTGATTTCTCTAGCTTATCTCCTCCACCTCAAAAGAAGCCTTCAAGGGAAGCATCAACGATCATCGTCAACAGCTCAATCTCCAAAGACATGCATGGCCGATCCGGATCTTGATTACGATCTCTCTAACGAAGAACACGGATTTGTTTGCATCTTGCACTTGACCTTCTTCGATATCAATCCCCGCATCGATCACACCGTAGAAGAATACGTGAAGCGCATCTTGGACACCTAGTTGAGGCTATTGAAGAGCAACTTGAGATCGTCGAGTGGAGGATTGCAACCGATCCTTGACGAAGGTTTTCTAATCTGCCTCTTCTCATATTTCTTAAAGTCTAATCCTTTCCTTATGATTTGATTGTAGTCATGAAGGTCGCGTTTGCTCGATTCTACTAAGCTTAGTAAACGTAGAGATTTGAGTGCACTCATTTGTTTTCCAATCTTATTGTTAGACTAGGGATTTTCGTTGAAAGCTACTACTTATGCATGATGTTATTTTCCTACGTTATTTTGATGATTCAAATCTCTTGATGTGCAAATTAGCCTAAACGACAGTGACCGCTCTTACGTTTTGATTCTTCGTTTTATTTGCTAATAGGTCTATTTGTTATTTCTCAAACCAATAAGTTGTGCAAGCTCTTAATAAATTCATTGCATGCATCGTAGTCCTACATCAACTAGTCCCTGGATCAATCCAACCACGACCAGTCCAGATTTACAGGAGGCGGAACAGGGGAAGTTCTGCCCCCATCAATGCCACATCTTGATATTGGGGTCCACAAGAATAATTAGGGGAAATTAGTGAGGGTTTTAGGAGGGAAATTTCAAATAGAAGGGGTTCTTTTGGAATTAGAGAGGATTAATGTTTGTTTAAGAGGGAATTACTCCTAGGGTTTATTTTTCATCTCCGTTTTTGGTTTCTTGCTCGGAGGGAAGTTTTCGCTTAAGGTGTTTGGGCTCTAGTTGCCGGTTAGGGATTTAGGAGAGTCGGATCCTCCTCTCCAATTGAGGATCCTATCATATATGGTTTTTCTTTGCATAATCTTTCAATAAAAATGTGTTTGTTGGTGTTCATCTTCTCAACTTTCCCTTGTGGCTTGCTGATTTTTGTGCTTGCTGACTTTTGTGAGAAAGAGCCTCTTTGTCCGAAAAGAAACATATAAGTCTTTATAGGAGATTCAAGGCCCACAAATGTTGCTGGAAAAGGAAAGACTAACATCAAGATAACTTTAAAGAAAACCCTTATACATATGAATGTGGTACATGTTCCTTAATTAGATAATTTTACTTCAGTCCACTGCCAGAAAAAAAGGGGTCAAAATTATGTTTGAGACTGATAAGATTACATTAACAAATATGGTGTACTTATTTGGGGGAAAGGAGCTCTTTGCTTGTGCAATTTAGGGTTTAGAGTTTAATAGATTTAAGGTTAGAGTTAAACATCGCAGATGCAATGAATGAAAAACCTTCTTATGCTTGCTTGTATGGATTTATGGCATGGAAGATTATAAAAATGTTAATTTTCCTGCATTAAGATAAATGAAAGAATAAGAAATCTGGAAGGATGTTCTTATTTCTAACTTAGAAAAATGTCAAACATGTGCTGAAGGAAAAACTAAAATAAAACAATGCAAATTCGTGATTAGTAGAGAATTAGAAGTACTATATATGATACACTATATTTAGGTGACATTACAAATAGTCTAAAGGTAATAAGAAATACTAAGTAATTTTGATCGAGATTTTTATTGATACTGTTGCATAATCTTGCTCAGAAAAAAAAAATGAAACATAATTAATTCGTGAAATATAAAAGTGACGTTAAGAATAAATAGGATAGTATAATTAAGCGGATTAGATCCGACAGAGGAGGAATATAATTCAGAGCCTCTCAATACATTTTGTGAATCCAATGTTACATTAAATAAATTCACGCCACCTTATTCACCAGAATCAAATGGAGGAACAGAAGAGAAGATAGAGCTTTGAAAAATACAATGAATGACATCCTAATAATTCCAGAAGCAATTCATAATTTATGGAATAGACTATAGAGGAGAGTGGAGCTATTTTTACCAGCATATCAAAATTTAAATAATTTTAAAGAATTAGCAGGATGCAAAATGAACTTCAGGAAAATCATTTGCCCAAATTGAAATATGTAAATGTGAGGATGTTTAATTAAGGTTTGTTTACTAAATACTAAGAAAAGAAAATCAGGTTCTAAAACTTGTGATTATCTATTGAGTATGCTG